CCTCATAACTCGAAAAATACTCAATGAAGAAATACTTTATTATAGTGTTTTGAAAAGCTCTCGAGATAAGCTACAAGAATAAGTAATAAAAAATAGGGGGTTCCATTAAAAAAATTGAAGGTGGTCTTCAAACAACTTTTCAAGATAAAACCAATGATACCATCTTATGTCCCCCTTCAAGCCATACAACTTTTGTCTGAAACATTTTTTCCTACAATCAAAATTAAAAAAGTTATTCGGGATCATCGATTAAAATGGGACACCCTGTATATAATATATGTATATATAATATATACATATGTGTATAATCATACATATATACATACATAATATATAATATATATACTTACACTATATATATAATTACACTAATTATATTAAAATGCGTGTAAAAATATTCTGTAAAAATGACAGTCTCATACAAGACATAAATTGCGATTTTAAGACAGTTATCACAGAAATAGCGCGCATGCTATTAGATTATCGCGTTTCCGTCCTAGTCAACCTTGGCACTGACATATAGCGTTATCGAACGATATAACCAGCGCAATTATAATTATTCTAAAATAATTGTCAATGTTTTTAATGTAAAAAAAATAAAATCACGATCAGACACGTAGCTTTGTTTTTCCATTTAATTTTTTAGATGTCGCTTTAAATTGCACTCACCGAGATTCGACACGTTCGCGTAAAGGTAATAAAGCAGCCAGCGGCACCATCGAAACAGCCAGATAGCCGAATGCTGAAAAACGACGAGTTCGATCATCGTCGCGTGGATATTAAATCCGACGATCGGCTTCGGTTCCGAGTAATGCGACCCGCGCATCGACGATCCGCGTACTGAAGTGGCCCACATTTTATAAACGCCGGCGTATCACTGCATAATATGTGGGGACCATCTAACTGAGAGAAAAGGAGAGCCGACAACCAAGAGCGAGCGAGAAAAAAAAACGATGCGCGCTTGTTTCCCCCTACTTGAGATCAAACGAATGACGCCATTTGAAATTAGGATAAAGATCCGGATGTTGGATTTCTCGTGCCCTTGGCGTCATCCATGAATTTATATAGAAGAGACTGCAAAATGATGTAATGATGCCAGACGATTATTTCGGCCTTTTTTAAACTTTCTCATTCATTTTCCCCCCTTTTCTTTCTCTCTTTCATTATATATATATATATATATATATATATATATATATATATGTACTAGTTTATATTAATTAAAATATTAATTTTTAATCAGTAATCGTTATCTCACTTTTTATATCTCATCGTCTATCTCAAATCATAAAGCAAAAAAAACTTATCAAACTTCAATAACAACAAATGCAAAATTATTCATAAGGAAGATTGCTCGCGATTCAATCTGAAATGGTAATGGTGGAAGTAATTAACACCTCATCGCGTTGGGATCCGAACAAAGATGGTAGATTTGCGCAATTATTAAATTTGTCTCGTAGCGCGGAGCATTCGTTGTAAATGTTGACGAAATAGGGAGAAGTTAGTTCAGTGGCAAAGCTATCAAGGGGTTATTTTCCCATCCGGTATATCCGGTATAATATATACAGCGTGCAGGATAGATATGCTCAGTACTTCCGTTGCGGTAGTTAAACACTATTCCACCTTCAAATTGTCTATCATCGAATCTGTGGCGCGTCATCAAGGAACTGAACTTTTCGCATTAAGCGGAAACGCGAATTTCATCAAAATATGACAGGCTATTTCTGTCTTGCGTACTAACTTTTGAGTCGTGGCATAAAATCTTTCTCAAAAGACAAAACGCGAAATCGTTCTCAAATCGCGAATTTCATCTCAAATCGCAAAATTTCGTTTTTTGTTTGATTTTCATATTATTTCGTCTATTTGAGCATATATTTAACAATAAATAAAGAAGGTATTAAACTATAGTATTGTCCGCGACAGCGATTCGTTCTCCTTGCAAGAATTCCCACGAAACGAACTGGAAGTGTCGTCGCGCACTGTACAAACTGAAACGAACTGGAAGCCTTGTATAAAAATAATCGCTATCGATATCTCTCTCAACTCATATTTTTTCATATATTCAGATTTTAGAAACAAAAAATTTATCTAGTTTTCAATTTTAGTTTTGTTCAATGATAGAGGAGAAATTTAATAATCTATTTCCTATTTATTACTTCTAAATTAAGATGTTAAAATCAAAGAAATCCTATTTTTTATTTTTCCTAGTTGTGTTATTAATAAAAATTAATGTATTATTGTAAAAATTAATTGTATTATTAATAAAATCACTATAAAAAATCACTATAAAAAATGTGTGAAGACCATTTCTCCTCTTCCTAACCATAAAATATATCTATGCGCTACAGTTATGAGTAACAGGTGTCGATAATTCATTTCAAAAAAATTTCTAAAATTTAAGTCGAAATAATAGAAAATCAAAATAATAGGTAAAACGCGATAAAACGCGAAATTTTGGAATCAAATCGCGAAAACAGTCAACATAAAATACGAAAAGTTCAATTCACTGGTCATCATCCCTCCAAGATCTTCGTGACAAACGGAATAGGATAATAAAGTTGATAGTAGCAAAAAGTGTGTATTCTCTTTTTGTAGTAGAATTACACTTTTTTTATTTCGGATTTATATCCATTAAAAAACTTTTTAATCTTTTCAACTTCTGGGGGATGCATTGGAAGAATGCAGTCCCGAGAAGAGATGATTCGGTTGCGAGGTTAGGTTAGGTTAGGTTAGGTACAATCGGATATTTATATATAAAGCTACATAGTGGCTTTGGCACCACCCACTCGACGAGAACACGACGTATAAACAGGATATAGTCGGATACGAGCCAGGAAATATACGTGGCGCAAAAGGACACGAGGTTGAGGCGCAAGGACATTCCGCTTGTATAAGCTTATATTATCGTCCTTTTTTCTCGCTGGACACACAAACTTTATGCGAGACATTATCGTTCCGGCAACGCGCCTCATAAAAGAATTCTTAGAATCAAAGGATCCTACTGGAATTCGTAAAATTCCTGCAAACGCGACATGTCCTGCAGAAATAGTAACCGGCTTAGCCTGTTTACGACTTTTTCTCTTTTTTTACAATCGTCGATACGCGATAAACGTGATCTTTAATAGCGATTATAATTTTCAAGAAAACGCCATCATGATCAAATCCAATAAATTCGTATACAGAGACATCCTTTGTGATAGATTCATAACACAGGCTTGCGAAGTTTTTTTTTAAGATGCAGTGATTTCCGATGTAATTTTGTGAGCTGAATTCGAATCTGGCCGCCGAATTTGCGTAGCACGTCACGTTTTTGAGTAATTTGTAATTGAATGGCTCAAAAATCGCTATTTTGGCCAATTTTATGAATTTATTGCGAGGAAACCAAATTTTTTGAAATATTTCTGCCAATGGCATCGTATAATACTCACTTTCGCCTTTCAAATCCACTTTCGATTACCGCTGCACGATTTTTTTCGCTGAGATATATAAGTATAACGTTGTAAGAAAATTTACGTTAAAGAAAATTTATATAGACATCAATATGGTAGATACATGATCTTGAAATTTGAAAAGACTGACATATGTCAGGTTCGGTTGGCCAAAAAAATATTGTAAAGAAATGTTTAATACAGTTGTTACACATTTTGATAAATTTTTCTAAATTTTATGCCTTTCTATTGTGATTCTATTCGCCATATTGGATGCGCCATTTTTAATTTCAAAAGGTGACAGAAGGTATTTAAAAATATATATTTTTATCCTAATTTTGATTTGTAGTGAGATGGAGAGGTGGCATGGTTGATTTAGAATGGCTTATTAAATCCCTATGCATGACCAGTCTTATAACTTGTATATCTGAGCAAAAAAAAATCGTGGAGCGGTAATCGAAAGTGGATTCGAAAGATGAAAGTGAGTACTATACGATACCATTAACAGAAATATTTCAAAAAATTTGGTTTATTCACAATAAATTCATGAAATTGGCCAAAATAGCGATTTTTGGGCTATTCAACTACAAATAACTCAAAAACTTGACGTGCTACGCAAATTCGGCGGCTAGATTCGGATTCAGCGCACAAAATTACGTCAAAAATCACTATTGCATCTTAAAAAGAAATTTTGACCCCCTTTTTTGCAGGCCTGTGTAATTTAAGATACAGTGAAGATTACAAAGTTTTAAATAAAAAAATTGAAAAAATATGATTTATTGTGTTATGATGATACCAGATCTTAAAGCTGCGATATCACTTCAATATCTATCCTAGGATATGTTTTCATCGTAGACTTATATGTCATTAAATAATTCTGAAGTTACGCTTAAATGGAGAGTGAAAATAAAATTTATAGCGAGAAAAGTCAATATTTGAAATGCATGGGAATGAAAAAGAAAAATATCCGCGTTCTGTGGAGAGCCAACACGTCACAGATGAAATGTGAAAAATGAAATATTGACAGCTCACACTTGACCCACATGCGATATAAAGAGCGAGTGCTGTGAAGTGCTGAACAAAATGCACGTGCTCGCGTAATAAATGGAAAAGGTGGTGAGCACGCCCACGCGAAATGAAAAATAATTGCAAATCCACTCATAAATAGAATTGCAGAGAAATGCACAGTTATTTAATTAATAAATAATACTTTTTTCACGTAATTATATTAATTATATCAAAATCAAAATCACTCGACTTTCAAATCAAATCGTAATTATATGGAACGATTATCCGTCACAAATGACATTTCGATCACTGGTTCCTTCAAATCGCTCGTTCTTGTGCAATCTAGCTGAGACATAAATGTATCTTGAGAAGCATTGCACATTGCTCGACTTGGCGAACTCTGACCTCGTTTTCAACGGAAATTTCGTATCTTATGACCGTTACGTCATCGTCTCGGAGATATCGGACCCGATTGGCACGTTGTTTCCGATTCTGACGTATATAAATTCTCGTGGTGGCTCCGTCTCGGCAACGCTACAATGGCATTGAATTTATGACCCTTACCTGATCACGGTTCCATGAATCGGCCACGAATTCTCCCGGAGCGATCTCAGGCAATTTCGGCTGCACCTGGCACGTATGCCCCGACGAAAGCGGAGTAAGTTCACCGTTGCATAATGACGAACGATGATTCACGAGTAAGTCGCACGCCGACCCATATAGTTCCTCCTCTCTCTTCCTTAATGCGGCGAATAACTAATTCATGGGGTCCTTCATATCTGCAAGATTATGAAAATTATGTTGGCGTTAAAGGAACCGTTCAATGCGATATTTATGATTGCAAAAGCTTTAAAGAAATATAAGAAATTTTAAATTATCCCTTATATAAAGTATCTTTTATATAAAGTATTTTAAAAAGACATGAGCGCAGGATATATTAATCAGAATTAGGATTGCACGAGATACCAAGATTAGTCTTGATATTGTCTTATCTTGTCTTGAATTTCAAGACAAGATCAAAACAAGATTTTTAATTAATTATCAAGACAATACTAAGACTAAGACTATCAAGATTATTAGTCTTGTCAAGATTATTGGTTCTCAAAAAAACTAAAATATTTATATTTATAAATGAAAAAAAATCACTATATACGAATTTTACAAAATTTTATTCAATAAAAACATTTATATTGATAAATTTAAAAACATTTAATATTAATACAATATAACATTTTTATAGATTAGAAATCAAACTCGCAAATTTTAGACATTAAAGAGCATTTCATCCAGGAATTGATGCACATTAGTGCTTTTAAAGATTTAATTTGTAATCTGGTTCTATTTTTTGACATAGAGTTTCTATTGAGAAAAGTCTTTCTATTGGCACGGACGAGGCAGTTGAACTTAAAATGTCTCGAGCCATTTTTGACAATGTGGGATAAATATGAACCTGATTTTTTTACCGCTCAAAAATATTTATATCTGCACATTCCCTTGGAGCCTGTAAATAGTTATTAATTTCTGTTTTCCATGAAATAGTAAATGTTTTTTTTAAGTAAATAGACGGCATTTACATCAATTACATAATAATTATAATTAAAATATAATACAATATATATAATTATTTCAAATTATATTACAAAAATTATGTTGAATATTATTTAAATAATTTTTTAATATTAGATAAAAAATTGTTAATAAAATCGAGACAAGACAATATAAGACGAGATTTTTGCTACCAATATTCACTAAAGACCAAGACAAGATTTAAATTTTTGAAAATTTTAAATACCAATACAATATTTTTACGAATATTGTCTTGTCTTGGGTCTTGTGCAACCCTAATCAGAAATAAGAGAAATGTCATTTTTGTTCCACAAATATATGAACACGATATACAAAATATGTCCATCCAAATGTGCCGCATAAAAATAAGTTTTCCGCGTTATAAAAGTGGTCCTGTCATCGCCTCTATTTCACGGAACGCACGTGCGCGAAGAGCTTTTACAGAAATGACAGGTTAAAAAAATGGAACAATTCTTGAATCGGTTACGTTCCAATTTCACAGCACCTCCCGCTTTATTTTCACGTCATGTTTCACTCGAAATCGCGAAAAGAATGGTAAGGACGATCGGGGAGGCAAACGGGCGGGGAGAATGGAGATGGAAAAAAATACCTAACCAACGCTAGCAAGCTAATAATCTAGGTCCATAAACTCTATTTATCCTTCTCTCTTTTGTTTCCCGGATGAAAGTGGAGGTATATTATAACATAAAGATATCTTATTTTTTGCCTATGGGATCAAGGAGATGATAATCTCGCGCGAGACGTTACACAGCGCGGCTGACTCTTCGTAAACCATCCCATACAGCTCAGAAGCTTGCTGCAACGTTGCTGCAATGTTACAATGTTGCTCACTGTAGTGTAATGTTGCAGCAATAATGCAGAGACATTATTTTGTAATATTACTTTGGCAATGTTGCAGTAACGTTTTAACATAGCGAAAATGTATAACATGTGTTCTTTTACTTGCCGCTACGCGGCGACATCCAATTTGACTAACTCGTATTCGAATTCATCTAATTGTAAGATGGATATAAGGTCTACAAAGGATTAATGTAGTAATTATATTTCTTGTCTTATCAGTTTAATTTCTGCTGATAAATTGACTTGATTTACTTAATATTCTGAATCCTAATGAAGGATCTAGATTAAAACAAATAATTTGTTTAATAATCTGGATTCTTCATTGGGTTTTAGAATATTAAACAGATTTTTTTTTAAATTGGAAATGGATAAATTGGAATGGATAAATAGGAAATAATTCATTTATTGCACGTATTAAAATATTCTGGTGTCGAATGTATGTAAAATAATTGTATGTAATATTATTGAAATAAATATTTAAGAAACATCTAATGAAAACACTAATAGATGTTTTTTTAAAGGCATTTTTTCCTATCTTTCTTAAACATTTTTTTATATTTTCAAAGTTTATTTATTAAATTTAAAACGGTGTCTGCATTTGTAGCAAAACGCATTTTAATATTACAAATACGTTGCACCGTAACATTGCTGCAATATTGCATTGCAATATTTCTACAAGCAGACATTTTACCGTTGCTGCAATATTGCAGCAACGTTGCAGCAACATTTTGTAACATTTCTGCAATGTTGCAATCTTGTAAAGAAATATTTCTGAAATGTTGCTGCAATATTTCTGTGCCGTATGGGATGCGAGAAAATCGCGAGTAAGAAACGCGTCCATGATAAATGCGATTACAGTGGCAACGATATCTCTCATTCGTCTTAACGTAGTGTTCTAGACTTATATTTTCCATGTCGTCGCAGACTCCATTAACGGCAACATCGTTAGTCGAGCTCTACCCGACCAACCGCAACTTTCGTCGACGAAACCAGAGGACGCGTCCTCCCCGTTTCAATGGAAAACGACATTAAAAGGATGGGGGAGAACTTTTCTCCTCGCTCATATCCGCGCGCGGCTCCGTAAGACAAAAGTCTTACAGGATATCTCGCAGCGACGTATCTTCCAGTCGAAGAAATGGCGAAGAAATAATTCAAAAGTTTCTCGCGAAACAGCTTGCATCGCGTCCGCTCCCGCCCTCATCCCCCGTTTCACACATTTTATCGAAAATGAAACGAGTTCCTCGGAACTACATTTGGCGAACTACATGCAACATATGGCATTGTAGATATTAGCTTGTGAGCTGTAATCAAATCCTCTGCGATTAATGTGATTAATTTTTAGCTCGTCCTTTAAGGATGTATTGGAGATATATTACCATTAATGAGATCGCCATGAATTTTTAATTTAACATTCTTAATAACATTCTAAATCGTCATGAATTATTTCAAATTTTTTTACTTGCTCCTTTAAAAGTTATTAATTTTTGAATTTTGCGATTTTAACATAGGATCTTATGTAAACGTTCAAGAGACAGGTAATAAATTATTCACAAACTATAAAAAAACAATGATTAAAATTTCATTTTGTATTATATTCTTCATACATGTAAAAATGTTCCCACAAAGTTTTAAAACGATTTACTTGCTCGTTTTGAAATTATTATTAAAAAATAATTGTGATTATCGGTTTGACGCAATATTGATGATAAAACGTGGCAATATTTTCTTGGAAATTAAGACCTATTTATATTAAAGAATACTTTAAAGTATGATTTTGTGATTTTTAAAAAATTTTTGATCAATTAGAATTCGTATTCTGCCCAACTTTAATTTTTTAGTACTTGGATTAACTTTCGAGACAGACGGTCCGTCCAATACATCCTTAAAGGAAATGATCCTTAGAAATGATGTATAATGGGAGAAGAATAAAAAATCTATGTGCAATCGTAGGACGTACTTTAAATATGCCTGGAATGAAGGTATTTCCTCTGTTTAATAGATCGATTGTTATATGCGCGTTGTCGGCAGTATCGTTATTGCTGTATTACACACACACGCACACACGTATATGTATGTATGTGTGTGTGTGTGTGTGTGTGTGTTTGTATGTATATGTGTAAGTTGCGAGGTGGATTTATTTCTTTTTAGATCGCGTTTTACTACTACTTTCATGCGGAGAATGTTATTCTCGGCCGATATAATAGCGCTCTCTTTCTAGCGAAACAGGAGGTCGATGCACCACTGACTCCCCGTCCGCTTCACCTTTTTCGTTCAGAAAGATCGTCTACCGCTCCTTGACCCTAGTTTGCATCACGTGCCACGGCAAGTGGGATCAGGTACCATTTATCCACTCTAACCGGTCGCGAGATGCCGTAATTCAAAGCCATTTCGACAACGAGTATTGTGTAGCGATGGAAGATATTAGTGTCAGCATATAAAAGACAACGTCGAAATAGAAGTCACGTCGGCGAAAAATGACTTTCATCTCGAAAAAATATTTCATTCTGTCACCTCGTAGTAAATCTGTGACTCGATACATTTCGTGCGGATGCGTCAAAATTTGTGCATCGGTTAAATCGAACATCGTAATAAATAAGAGCGAGCAGAGAAGAGAAAAAAATAATGTAGCAGAGAAGAGAAGAAAAATTCTCTACGATACATGAAAAATTTTCAATATATATGTATTACTAATCGTAAAACTAATTTTTCTAAAATTATTTGTTCCTTACTTATGAATAATGAATTAATATATATTTAAAGTTTATTTATACTTAATTTATACTTTAAAATTATTATTTATTAATAATTATTATTTATAATTTAAAATTGTTCCCTTTACTTTATTTCTTGAAAAATGATCGCGGAAAGTAAAAATATTTCGGGTACACGTGTAGCAGAGATTAATGTAGCTGAGAAGGCGAAGAGAAAATAATGTATTTCAAAAATAGCTTAGCATTAGCTTTGTATCACGTTGCGTATAGCTTTCTAAAGGCCAAAACGGATCAAATTTATTTGATACGGCCAATCGTGCGACTTCTCGTTATTGTAACTTTACTCGGCTATTGGATATTGATTAGAGCCGTGCGCAAAATTAATCGGCGAATTTAACTGATATTGTCCGCGATTGTTTATATAACCAATTAATTTATCATATTTTTCAGAAGATTATATAATACAGGTGTCTGTGAAGCTGGCACGACAATCCACGAATTATAAAAAAATACTAAGAGTTTTCATAGCACTTTTCATAGTTCTACAGTTTCTGATAAAAATTAAAAAAAGTTCCGCATTCCTTATATTAAAAAATCGAAATTGAAAAAATGTGCTAACTTCGCGAATCTAGCACGACACT